TTTTTAAATTTTTTTATTAGATGCTATCAAATTAAACGATAATAATGGCTAGTGATTTGGTCACAAAAAAAAAAAGGCTAGTGAAGAATTACTGCTATGCAATTCAATCTAAGTGAAAATAATTTATAGGAAGAAGAGGTTAAATCGCAATGTCAATTGACAAAATACTATTCAACTATTCCGCCAAAGCACAAAAAAGAGAGAATTGAAATTTAAGCGCATCTATAATTAATCCAGCTTGTGTAGAATAAAAATGAAAGTATTCTAGCCAAAAAATAAAAAAATAAAATTGAAAATAATAACTAATAACCAATGAGGATTAGGTCTAGTAAAAAGAAGTCAATTCTTTATAACATGATGAATAAAATATTCAAATGCTCATTAAAAAAGGTACTCACATTTAATGCATAACATTGCTTCAAATAAGCTTACCTTCAACCAAAAATACCTATAAATAAAAAATTGAAAATAGTGATTTAGGCATGGAAAAAAAAAGTAGCCATACTAATTTTTTTCCTTGAACCATAAGCAGGCACTAGGTATTCATATGACATTGAAGTTTAATCCTATTTGGATACCAGTGGCATTATTTTTTCATCAAATGTCCTTATTTATGATATCCATCAATATTTATTTAAATGGAGAGAACGATTAAGAGTTACATAGAAACTAATTCAAATTATTAAAACAATTAATAAGATTCCCTAATTTTAAATGAATTTCTCAAGATTCGTGGAGTGATAAAAAATGTCCTATATTACTACCTTCATTTTAAATTATAAAATATTTTTAGATAAAATCTCATATATCAGTAAACCTTATTAAATATACTTAATAATTTTATCTTTTCAAAATAAAAATATAACTTTTCAAAATAGCCATCATTTAATATATTGAAAAGAGAAGTGATGGAATTTAATTATAAAAAGAGAAAGAGTAATATTAAAATTAATGTATTTAATAAAAATTTAATTTTTTTAAATATTTTATATTTTAGGATAAAACAATTTTTATAAAAATATTTTATAATTTAAAATAAAGGAGTATTATAATAAGAATCAAAGAGGCAAATAGAATTTCCTGTGGCTTTAATGTAGTTTGGGCTTCAGATGTTAAAAAATTATCGGGCTCCAGTTAATTGGGGTCCAAACCCAATAAGAAACTGCTCGCAAGAAGCAAACGAAACGGCTAGTCGTTTCGTCGAGATTTTTCTTTCGCGCAGGCCAACCTTCATCTGTTAATTCCTTCATCGTTCAAGTCGTAGAGGAGATCTGTGTTTCTGTCTCTCATCCTCTTCTTATATCGAGTATTGACTCATTCCCAACTTCACCTCACACCGTTCACGGCCGCTTCGATCACTTCGCTGCACCGCCGGCTCTCTTTTACTTTACAGGTTTGTTCTCTGATCCTCTCACTTCACCTCTCTCGATTTTCTCGTGTAGCCTCACTTGACCTTTCGATATTTTTCCAACTAGATCTTCAAGATTTTGCCTCCACTTCACGCTTCTTCGCATCTTTTACAAAAATTCCCCTTTCATCAACCAAAATATTCTGATTTTATCTACGTTTTCTCCTCGTTTTTTCCGACTCAACTTCTATTGAAGGGTTTTCACGCCTTTGCTGCTTTTGGCTTTTACTTCTCCTGGGAATTTTCCCACTTTTTTGTAAATTGCAGAGAGTTTTTCGTCCATACGATGTGGCAATTAAGCACCGATTGGCTTTCGGAAAATATTTTTTTGTTATAATTGTTGAATACGAGTTAGAAATGGTCCGGTTTTACTCAATCATTTTCTCTTTGGGCAAGTGTATTCTTCTCAGTGTGTAATGCTGGGATGTTTTTTGGTTTCCTCCTAGCTTGGACCTCGGTTTATATTTAACACGAGCCTATACTATGGGTATTATGCTTTAATTTCATGTTAGTTTTTGCGTCATAATCGTATGTGATTTGTTAGTTGAAGCTTGAGTAGTTTCACTTGCATGGGTGAAAGCTACCGTGTGTTTAGAATTTTTTCTTGAGTTGTACTGGGATGGCTACTCCGCTTCAGATAGCGATTTTCTTTTACCATCCAGGTTGAAGCGAATCTTGTGTCAATAGTTCAATGACTTCAATCTCAGTATCTGATTATTTGATTATTTATTGTATTGTTTTATGAAAAGATTCTTGAAATTGGGTGTAACAATTGGTAGAAGGCTGAGTTTCCCTTTTTCTTTTATGGGATATCTATGTGAGTGTGACTAACTGTTAACTATATGTATGTTAACAGAAATATGCCTCCTCAGAAGGTTGAAACTGGTCATCAAGACACAGTTCATGATGTGGCAATGGATTACTATGGTAAACGGTTGGCTACAGCCTCTTCTGACAACACCATTAAGATAATCGGGGTGAGCAACACAGCCTCTCAACATCTAGCAACGCTGACTGGTCATCAAGGGCCTGTGTGGCAGGTGGTATGGGCTCACCCTAAATTTGGGTCTTTGCTTGCTTCATGTTCTTATGATGGGCGTGTCATCATATGGAAGGAGGGAAACCAAAATGAATGGACTCAAGCTCATGTCTTTGACGACCACAAGTCATCTGTTAATTCAGTTTCTTGGGCACCTCATGAGCTAGGTCTTTGCTTGGCTTGTGGTTCATCTGATGGTAACATCTCTGTTTTCACTGCCAGAGCAGATGGTGGTTGGGACACTTCAAGAATTGACCAAGCCCATCCTGTCGGTGTTACATCTGTTTCATGGGCCCCCTCAACGGCACCTGGTGCTCTTGTCGGTACTGGCTTGCTTGACCCTGTACAGAAGTTGTGTTCGGGTGGTTGTGATAATACTGTAAAAGTATGGAAACTTTACAATGGAGTTTGGAAGATGGACTGCTTCCCTGCTCTTCAGATGCATACAGATTGGGTTCGAGATGTTGCTTGGGCACCAAATTTGGGTCTTCCTAAGTCTACAATTGCTAGTGCATCTCAGGATGGCAAAGTCATTATATGGACTGTGGCCAAGGAGGGGGATCAGTGGGAAGGCAACGTTTTGTATGATTTCAAGACCCCAGTTTGGAGAGTCTCATGGTCATTGACTGGAAATATATTGGCTGTGGCTGATGGGAACAATAATGTGACATTATGGAAGGAAGCGGTAGATGGGGAGTGGCAACAGGTGACGACAGTGGAGCCATAGATTCGTAGTTTTGAAGTCTTGTTGATTTGGGATAATGGTTAGAATTTTCTCTTTAAAGTTTAATTTACATATACAGTTGAGTAATTGTGCTTCATAATCCTTAGTTCCTTAAACTCTCTGATCTTTTGAACATTCTGTGCTTGCGAGGATGGAGTTCTATAGTTTGAGATGTTTCTTTTATCAGTTAGAAGGTTTACATTCAGTGATATGATATGACATTTCTTCTTTTCGTGCAAGTTTCACAAGACGTGGCTGTGACGCTCAATTGCAATCATTGACACGTATATCTGGGTTCAGGAGCATTTTTTTTCTCCCCTCCTAAATTGTATTTGACTGCAATCTTGCCTTCTTAACTTTCTAAATAGTATTTGGACTGAGTTTGGAGAGAAGTTGGTGAATGGTTTCCTTTCTAAATCTAATAGACTGGGAGCTTAATAATAATGAAATTTAGCTTATGATTTAAGCTTGTTATTTTTCAAATAGAAATCTCATGATTGTTCAAGGCTTGTTTTTTTCAATGTCCATGAGGATAATTTTATTGTTCTATACTAAGTTTTGGACTTTGGGACATAGAATGAGCAGTAAGCTATCTAACACCGCAAGGACCTCAAAGTTGAGTTTCCATTATGTTTTAATTTTAATGGTTCGTTCGTTTTTTTGAGTTACATAAAAAAAGATAGTTCTTTCCCGTGGCATGGCGTGTGATAGTAGTTTCTCCTTATGATGCGGAATTATTTGACAGCAGAAAAAAAGGGGAAAAAGCCTTTATTTCACCATGTTTATTTGCACTTTTGTTGGATGATGATGAGCTACAAGTTCAAGACTTATTAAGATGGTGAAGATTGATAATTAGACATGATATGCTCTCAGAAGTATATACTGTTCTGTAATTAAATTTTACTGGGTTACCCGTGGATTTTGTGTGGATTCAATTGTTTCTTCAAGTGAATTCAAAGATTTACCCTTTGCGGATGAACAAATATTGGGTTGTCGGCCCTTAACTTAATGTAAAGGGAAGCAAACAGATGTGTACATTCATTTAGCTACATTTTCTCAAGATTGTATTGATGATTTTTGTATTTCACCCTTCAACATTAACAATTTTGGTGTCAGGTTATTGTTTGTTCTCTTTTGACCTTGGCCTCCTGTGCATGTTTTTTTTTTTTTAAATTAATGAAGCGTATTTCTCATTATACGCGTGTGTGTGTGTGTTTACATGACAGAATGCATTTAAAATTTTATTCCCTTGCTATAATTTTTTTTTCTTTTCAGTGAAAAGGATATCATTGATATGATAAAATGTTATAAACCGTAGAATATACTTAACCACTACGCATGCTCAACCTCACCAACCTATCTGATAAGCTACTATTATAAGCTCAAAATCATGTTTATCTTACGTTATTATTACTTGTTTTTCAATTCAACTTTTTAATTATACTTTCTCAAAAGTGTATTCTAAAATCACGTAAATTTTATTTTATAAATCATGCTGGGCTTGCAATTTATTTTGGCATGTGTAGGGATGTTTTGATATTTTTTGGAAAATTATTAGATTCATAATTAATTTTGATACACAATAGGAGAGTTTGGATATATTTTATACAAAATCACGGTTTTGGCTTTTAAAATTGATTAAGAATGTTATCCAACTTGGCACGCTAAGGAGGTTTAAGACTACGTATAAACTAACTGTAAAACCATGCCAGAAGTTTCAGAAGTTGTTTTTTTGATGGAACATGGCACGATGTTTTAAAAGTCATGGAAACAGGTCTCTTGCAAAGTTTTCGCTGTACACAGTATTTCACGCCAAAGAAAAACGAAAAGAAGAGATGAAAAAGAGCATTTCCGGGGTGGGGTACACGTTGATGAATCAGTGTGCGTGTAGGCCATATTTGATGATATGATACAAGTCTAACCACAACTGGACATTTGTACACAATCAGATAGGCAAGAGCCCAAGAAAACTCTGGTAACTTGTAATTTAAGACATTAACAAAAAGGGGCATACATCACACAGGACAGAAGTGAACGTGGAAAATTAGTGTGATCAAGAAAAGCCAACGGTTTTGCCCAGCAGCCATAGAACAAGGGAGAGCTCAATTCCGAAAATGGTGTGCAGGGTGCTCCGATCCAGCATGAATCCGAACATTGTAATCCCTGCTTTGTTATTCTCAAAGTAATTCACTGCAATCATACATTAAAACAGATTACTATGCCATTTTTTAGTGCTAAAGACACTTTAATTTAGGCATTATTTATTAATCTCCACTCAACACATCAATCAGATGAGCTGTCCGCAACACTAACGAGTTAATTACGCAAAAGGAAACATGAGGGGAGGAATAATTTGGCGTGACAGACATACCTAAAGCTTGTCTCTTTTGGTATGAGATTGTGCTGTAGGCATATGATGGGATTAATTTGGTAGTATTAATCTCATCTTCTTCGTCGCCTGGATCGTCAGCTTCAGATTCCCCATCAGTCCCGACCGTCGGATAGACTCTTTCACATGCAATCTGAGCCGTCGGTGTCTCTCCTTCCACCACCCCATCAAACGTATCCAACGTGGCACACGCATGCCACTTGGCAGCAAGCCCTGTGATTGCTTGTGCTTTGTGCGTGATCTTTGTTGCACTCCGCAATAAGATTGAGAGAGCAGAAACCAGTGTCACGGAGCATAGCTGCACCAAATCACGCCTCAAAAATGTTAAATAATTGAAAAAAAAAATACCTTTCATTTTACAACTGTGTACAGCAGGCTGAGTTGTCGATCATGACAGTTCTGTTGTGTGTTTATTTTGACTTAATTTTAACTAAATTTAAATAAATGCCTTTACTTCTTGTAAATTACATGTGCGTTATGAAGTTTAAAATAAATTTTGTATTATTATTTGACATTGTTATTTATTATTTATAAATAATTTTTATGGTTAATTATTGTGAATTAATGAAAAGGTAACATGCTATATTATTAGCAAATTTTCATTAAAAGATAGATTATTATAAAATTGAGTTGTAACTATAATTGGGTTTAAATTGACATTGAGTCACTTTTCAACAAAATCAAGGGTCACAACTCACAAAGAGTAAGGGGACCCACTTACCGCAAGTTCACCAGTTTTGTAGATGTTAAGGTCACTAGTAGATTTGGTGGTGATGAGGAGGCAAGCAAACTGGCTACCTGTGACGAGGATGAGGGCTGACAATATGAAGGCCCTGAATCGGTGGCTGATTATGCGGAGGTGCCTCCGAATTCGGAGGTGTTCTGACAGCACCGATATCACGTCGGAGTCCACGTGGAACACGGAGGCGAAGTCCTTTAACCGTAGAATTTGGAGGTGACAGATCAGACGAAACAGGACGCACACCAGGAAGATCACGGTGGTGCGGTACAGCCATGAGAGAAGCTCCATCGTGCATGCTACTGCATCACTCAAGTATACGTTTCCTAAGAATGGGATTTGGGAGGCTCCTGAGGCGTACCACCATATCTTGTATGCACTCTCAGCAATGAAGCATGGGATCACAAACACAGAGAGAATCTTCAGTGATCTCTGTAACATGAGATACATGAGAAATTAGCTCAAGTAAATCGACTCTTCCTCGTTCATTAGTGAGACATTCCATTCATCAATCGTGTCGTGAAGAGTATAATTTGATATAAATTTGATATATATATTAAAATATTAATTATTGATATTGATACCACTCCATTTTTAACGCTTACAGAAAATTATTTTATTATTACTCATTTTAAAAACATAACTTGAACGCCCCTCATGCAATATCCAAGTTTGAGATCTTTTCCTTTGAATTGAATGATAGAAGAAAAAGTAAACTGTAATTAGAAAAAAAGAAAAAGAAAAAGACAATTGGTAGAAAAGGAAAGACAGAAAATAATGAATAAAAAGATTAAAGAATTATATGATAAACACAATCTAAGGAAGTAATGAACCCACCAAAATGAATAGACCAGCTAATAATAATTACACAGCATTGATGTGTTTTGTTTTATTATATAATATATATATATATATATATATTTTTGCCAAAAAAATATATTATATAGATTGATTAATTGATTTTAAAAAAGATTTTAAAATTAGTACTCCTATTTAACAGGATTATGCTATGGATACATTTAAGACCAAGGAACAAAATATAGCAATCACGCCCAGTGAATTTAATAAGGTTTTAATGCTTACGGAACCAGTTCCAATTAATCCTTCAATTGTCAAATTCTCTTCGCTTTTCGCTGTTTAAGTGGGGATCGCCACTACAAATTGTCCTAGAATAAATGTATAGTTATGGTTCTCGGATAGATGTGTTTGATGAACTTTTTAATGATCAACTGAATAAAGCTAAACTTATGTGTGCACTTATCTATTTATATTCAGCCCAGTAGCACATAGTACGTAGTAGTCTTAATAAATATACAGACATTGCTAATAAAAAATGAAAATGACACTCAAGAAACTGAGAATATCAATATCAAGGGCATTTATTTTGTTTGTTCTCTGTGAACCATGATGATTGCAACCAAATTGAAGTACTAACGGATGTTTAGCAAATCATATAGTATTTCCCGTAAGTCATGGAAATTATTCATCTACAGGTTCAGAAAAAAGGGCAACAATTATTTCCTTTTTCGGCCTGAACATCGGCATTTACTTGACAACTGATAATTGAAAGGGGGGGATTGATCAATATCAATGATGCAAAATTTCCTTGTGGACTGCCACCAAAAGTGGGCTCCGTTATATTATCATACAACGCTCTTTTTTAGGAAAAAAATATATTATTCATATAACGCCAAAAGAGAATATTTTCTCTTTCCATCCACATAATTCCTCCTGTATGTAAAATATTTTTAACCTAATTATATAAATTTTAAAAGTAGTTAAAATTAGTTAAGAAATTGATTTTTTTTAAATTTTCAGAACATTTCAAAATTATCTTAAATTAAAATTCTTAATTCAACCTTTAAATTTTAAAGTTAAATACACCACCCAATAAATTAATTAAATATGTAGACATCTTAGAAAATAACTTATTAGTATTTTATTCAATTTTATAAGGGATATTATTAAAAATCAAGCAAAATTTTAACAAGACACACTTACCAGTCCAAAATATAAACATTTTTTCTCAACTAATCTTAATTCAAGATATAAACAATCTAATATATATAAAAATAATTTTTTTTTTCATTTTACACTTTATATTTAATAACTTAAATTTTTATGTAAATATACCTCTCATTTATCATAGATAATTAAGCCTAAGGTAAAAAGTTAAACAACATAATTTTTATAGGAATAAGAACTTTATTGGTAATATTGCTTTGAAAGTGAAGTCCCATGACTTGTCCCCATTTTCTGGATCTATATTTCATGAACAATTCACATTTCTATTTCTATCAGCTAAATTCAAAATAATAAGATGGGACGAAAACTAAAACGATAGAGGTTCCGCGTCGTCTGTTTCATTACAAATCACAAGGTCAAAACAGGAAGAAGGGCTCCTTTTCGTATTATAATTAATAAAGAAATAAAAAAATGAAAAAGAAAAGAAAATAGTAGCACGCAACGAAAAAGGAGTTCTCCAGATGGTTCTCAATTGTATCATATCATGATAAGTCATTAGAAGATCGCAAACTTGCAGAATCAATAAGCGAGAAAGAAAGAGATGGAGAGAAACTCACATTGAGCTGCCCGGTGTAATTGGTCCTAACGGTCTCGCTCTCATCACAGAGCCGATCGAAGAACAAAAACCTCCGAAGGCCATATTTCCTGACGAACCTCGATAGGCAGATGAAAGACAGAGAGGCGACGCTGCTGAGCGACAATTGCAGGATGGAGTCGTACGGCCTGGAGTGCTTGGCGTCGCAGCTAGGGCATGCGAGGAGGAAGTGAGAGATGGCGGGGACGATGACGGCGAAGAGGAGGAACATCGACCACGACATCAACGCCGTCCAGATGTTCGATTGGTCCACGCACATCCACCGGAGGTAGGACCGGAAGCTTTGAAGCTCGTCGTAGGCGTTGGAGGCACTGCGATGGTACTTGGAACTGACGGCTCGAGAGTTGAGCAGGGCCTCGCCATTGTCGTCCATGGCCAAGGCGATGGACGATTTGACGGTGAAGCCGATCGGGGAATCGAGAGCTGGGGCTTGGAATGGGAATCGAAAGAATGCGAATAAATAGGGGAAATGGAAATAAAAGTAGAAAATGGAGAATAAATTAAAACCTGTGATTGAAGATTAGCAGCTATTTTATGCCGTTTTTTTCAATTGATACGTGATGTATTTTTCTGGAACCGTTTTGGGACAGATGGGAAGGGATGAAGTGGCGTGTTTTGATTGGTTTTGAAAATGAGAAAGAGGAAAATTTGGTAGGGTCACGTGCTATGATGCTGCCTGTTATTTTTTCTATTTAATTTTTTACCTCTGAATTTTTTTTTCCCGGCCAAATCATCTGCATTTAGAATTATCTATTATTTATTAATAATGGCTAAATCGAGTAAAAAAGGCTTAATTATTTTTAAAGAAAAATTAAGAGTTCCAGCTTTATAATTTTATTAAAAAGGGATCAAATATAAATACCCACACACATTTACTTATGTAAATTTTTTTCTTGTTGATGACCCTCTCGTATAAAAGAGCGAGTCACATGTACTCAATGGTCATATACCCATCTCTTCGTAACGTGAAGTACAGAAACTTGCAACCTTTCTCCTTTAAGGTGTCGAGCGTGCTGAACCACAAGATTCTTGCCATTCGAAATTTATGAATAGTTTAGAAATAAGACAATGCTCAAATTTGAGAGAGATAACATATTGCACAAAAAGGGGGAAAAAAAACCTGATAATGAAGCAGGCTTTGGTCATAATTTGACTGAGGGAGTTAAATCCTTAATTACTCAACCCTCCCCTTAATGGATTAATTTTATTGTTTATGCACTGATGTTTGTCCCCAATACAATACTGTCGCGGATTTGTTAACTAATACAAGATTATCAGATAATAAAATATTATGCGCAGTCTAATAATAATTTTTTATATGGTGAGAGTGAGACACGAAGTCCGGTGATGTAATGATTCTATATACAAATAGAATTAACATTATACGTTAAAATATATGTGAAGAGAATGCTGGTTCATCTTGTCAGCATCCCAGATCAGACCTGTTACATGTCATTTTGTGGTAATGTTCATTTCATAGGTTAAAAATATAGGGGACACTGCCCCTCGACAAGTAATTCCATAAAAAGGCATGTTGAAAGTCAAAGCGTGAGTTTTTTCCCCCCCGATTAATAAGAAATATAGACAGTGTTCTTCTTCTTCTTCTTTTTTTATTTATTTTATGTAAGATATAAATATATTTATTTACTAAATTTAATATGTTTTGTAATATAAGCAGTTCTTAGAAAATAGTGAAAGAGATTCAAAGAAAATATTAAATATAATTCAAAAATTATACAATATAATAAAAAAAGAATAATTTAAAAAATCGTAATTTAGGGGCCTGAGCTCAACGTCGAATAAATATAATTTCGCAACTAACACGTAAGAAAATCACTTAAATAATAATTGGGTAATAAAACATTAATATTTTAGACAGAAATTAAATAATTAAAAAATACATACACTAACATTATAAAGAATCAAATCAACACTCGAAGAACACAGAGCCACATCCCACATGGCTGCAGGTCGTTGTTTATCTTTACTTATTCTTGTAAAAAACATTATTTCCATTTCTCTTAACTTGATAATCGCCTGTATGGCAACCTATTCCTGCAGTTCAATATTATATATTGGTCTTGATATTGATATATTTTTTAAAATTTTTTATTGGTTCATACACAAGAGACAAAATCAGAGGCTTCTAGGTGGCTAAGCCTCGTTCGTGAGATTTACTTCTTTTGGCAGATTTGTCGTAATCATATTGTTAAATTTTAATTAATCGTAAGTGTTTTAAACGCAACAAGGTTGTGATTTGTGAGTCAAGTGACAGATTGGTAACTATCTTTATTAAAATTTGCGTAAGATTTTATATGCTGGTAATGAAGTTTGATTGATGTTGACAAAAACCTAACATATAGTGTATTGTGTATATATGTGGGTGACATCTTTTAATTTAGATCTAGATTGGTAAATGGCATAAATACACTTATTTAATGAGTGTCGTAGAACAACATAACAACAATACTGTTT